CTGCTGTTGGAAACAAAATATTTATCTTTTTTTTAAGTCTGTAAAACTCCACCGCTGAAAGTGGTCCCTTGGTTATAGGGAGGATTTGCCATAATCGCCAAACTAAACCATTATCTATAAAAACCTCCAACTAACAAATTCTCTCACAGTAAACATACGCACACAAACAAAAACATGCGCGAGCACGCACACACTCGCAAGCTCGTATGTTTGTACCACGTATCTGTTTCTTTTTTAATTCAACAATAGCTTGTCAGATATAAAAAGGAACCATCTTCAACAAAAGGACAGAGTAACAACTCAGGTTATCCTTATACAGGAGCTAAAGGTTTTGAATATTTTTCATCTATCGAAAACTATTAGGCAATTCTGGCTTTTCCCATAGCATAGGTACCCATCTTCCGACAATCACGCGATGAAATAAGATGATGGATTTGGCCACCACTCGACGTAAAATAATTATTGAATATCACATCTAAGTAATGTCTCTAGACACCTTTCTAAGAAACCAGCAATTTAGTAACGATTTAGGAACGAATTAGTTTTGTGATTGCTTTGCGGTAATATCGTATTATAACTTTACCTTTCCTGTTATTACGAAGGCAACAACGGTAATAAACAGCTGTAATGACAAACAAAAATAATGACTTTTGTGTTTTAGATTTAATTTAAAAAAATATTTTGAAATCCACTTTTTTCTACGAGCATATAGCCTACGAGATAGATGGTGGATGCTGTTGCCAGAAGATACTCTTGTGGTTTATAGGTTAGGTACTCGATATATAAAATAAAATATTTATTGAAATAAAATAAAACGACGGAAAGATTATAAACGCGAAACTAAAAAACCAATAGGAAAATTCGAGATATATTTGCCTTGAATTATTAAAGATACTTGAATGCACTCTCTGATCATCTAGAACTCCGCGAGAAATATCAATATAAATTTTCACATGGAACATTAAAAGTTAAAGTTATGAATTATTGAATAAAACTACTTTTTTACGGATTTTATCGCGTTTAATTAACTTATTTTATATTCCCGACGTTTCGGTTGATTTTCAGCAACCGCCATTAGATTAGATTTGATAAACCACAAATTCTCGCGAAAGAACATCCATTCCTGCCAAGGATGATACGTGAGGCTATTGAAATTAAAAAAACATCCTAATTTCAATAGACAGGGAGGCTGGGTACTACCACCTGCTTGGGATCCTATAATTCATAAAATTAAAACTAAACCCAAGCATACCACTGCAAGACTTCAAGACACAGTAAGTTCATTCTGCGTAGATCGGACCAAAATTAATAATTAAAAAGCTGAAGGTACTCCGGGTTAACTCTGACGGACGGACTCGGGACGTCAGTTACCTCAGTCCCCCGTGACCATGGTTGCTGGAAAGCAACCGAAACGTCGGGACTATAAAATAAGTTAATTAAACGCGATAAAATCCGTAAAAACAGTAGTTTTATTCAATGTGTGGTGTTCGCGTAAATATAAGAAATCATTATGAATTATTACTTAAATTTAATTGTTAATTTTTTTGATTTATTTATTGTCTACAGAACCAACAACTTTTATTACTACAGGTGACGTGTAGAAACAAAATATGTAGAAGTGTACGTCGGTCCTATAACTGCATTAATTTATGGCGATAGCAATATTCTTCGAGTAGGATTTCTTGTGTACAATTATTTAATGGGTTAATAAGTTTACATTGTATTTTCTCTATATTATATAAAGTGAGACGAGTAATTTAGATTCCAGATATTTCAACAATACTCCGAAACACTTGGTACAGAAGAATAATTTATTTGTTTTTAATTTATTTAGCTTTATTTATCACTTACACGAAATATATCATATAAAATAATATATCCTTGTCATTTCTCATACATATTGTTCGAAAGTGAGCAGTATAAATATGGCTTTAAGAGGCAATTTAGCACATTGAAATACGTCGGAGCAGATCAACCTCTAGAAGGCGCTTGACATACGCGCGTTATTTTACTTCAACCTTATAGAGGCCGGTTGACAGTTGAGAGGTTAAGTTTATAATATTATAGCTAGTATCCATTGTTCTTACTTTATTTGTTAGTATGTCTTTATATTTAATTTCCTTACTTTTGTGTTAGTCGTAAGCCTTTTGCGATGAAAGCCTTTTCCAAATTACTTCAAGTGGTTCTGTCGTGCGCTAATCTTAGCCGTAGGCAGCCCGTACACACTCAATCTCGATCGCGATCGGTGATCAAAATCAATGATCGCGATCCAGATTGATAATGTACGAATTAGATTGATGGATTGATGCATCTGATCACAAAATATCTAGATATTTTGAAATCAAGATCGCAATCCGCTGATCGTGATCTAGATTGAACGTGTAAGCGCAAAATGGGCGTCGATGACACGCGGTCCTCGTTGCCGCCGATTGAATCGGCGAATTCACCTTCGTTACCTCAATTTTTTAACAAGAAGATTTCATCATACTTTTGGAAACTTTAACAGAGCTATTGATTCCCCAGCATAAATATAATACAAATAATATAATAAAAAATATATGGAGTTATCATTTGTAGTAACTCATCGAAACATTTTTCCCCCATCCTGAAGTAGTTTTTATAATCGTCAGTTTCAGCAGTTAGTTGAATTTATTTTAGTAGATTTAAGCGAGTGTACATTTCTCACTTAAGTAGCCACTGTTTAACCTACTGCCTTTTTCGAAACCTTTTCTTCAAAGTAAGGGCCAAAACAAATGATACTACAGCTTTAACCTCATGTAAATTCATGGCCACAGAGTACTTTTTAATATGACAAGACAACAGACGTTGATAACGTGGCGGTTACGATACACGGACTGAAGAAATCCAGATTGAACGTGAAATGTTGTACTGTGATCCCGTGATCCATAATCGCGATCAGAACTGTGGGATTGCAATCGAGATTGAGTGTGTACGGGCTGCCATAGTGTACCAGCTAATTCGACGATGTCATCATTTCACCTTTTTGATGGCCTACCTTGCCTTTTTTTTATTTATTTATCTGACATTAAATGTTGTAATGTAATATTTTTTGAGGTTTGGAGGGTGGTCGTCTACATCCCCCGCGGTGACGAGCCGTTCTGGGGGAGATTATGTTAAGTTTCTTCTGATTTTTATTATGTTTGTGAGTGCAACACATTTCAGATTATGACGGCGCTTTCTTAGTTACTATTCATCTGAATTTGAATATTCAGAAGACAAGGAAATCCTTCGGGATTCTAAAGCTCTAGTTATGCTTTGTTTGTTGATGAATTTCTCTATGGAATAATACAGAACTTTATTTTTACATACATTCTGAAGCTGAGTATGGACGGAAGTTGTTATACGCCTTTGCGACCATTGTCGTGACATGATCAGACATGAGCAATGAAATCTAGAAATACAAAATGATCGTGAAGTAGCGACTTATGAGAATCCTCTACCGCATATAATCACGTCGGTGTCGTAGGAGGCGACGGAGGGAAATATAGAGCAGTATATAGCTTAACTCAAAATAAAAAAAAAACTGTAGGAGTCTACGGTAGCCGACTCGCTTAAGCGTGGCAACTATGGCAAAATGGGCAATGAATGGTCCACCATTGATTGCCTATTTTGTCCTCCAGTCCTCCTATTTCTGCAGTGGATTTTTCAAAGGCTGCAATGAATGAATAATAAAATCCTCAAAAAATACATAAATTGACGGCTCCGTGGAGGTAGTTTACAAACACAAATTTAGTTTACAAGGCCCCCAGCGCTTACTGCGCTGGGGGCCTTGTAAACTAAATTTGTGTTTGTAAACTACCTCCACGATGCAGGAGAAAATCCTAGGTAATGTTTTTAAAGAAAAAAAATTGAAATAAATAATTGCCAACTTTGCACAATGTGTTTTATGGGTGATAAACGAGTACACAATCCACCCGATATTAAGTGGTTCCTGCCGCCCATAGACATCTACATTTATCCTCGATTACAAATTAAAATGTGATAAGATGCGTTGCGTGAGGACCCGTGAGGACTAAGATGGAATGCCTCGTTTCCAGTAAACAGGATTTCGGGTTCTCTACACTCACCGTAAGAAACACAGCAGTGCAGTGTCAAGCTGCTATTTTACACTGGTATTCCGTCTGTTCGTGAGGTTTCACTACAGTCGGTTTTGCCTTTTTGAAGATTAGCCCGCACTCATGTACAGACAGGCAATTTTTTTTTTTAATTTTAATGACATGAAAGTAATCTCCTCAGTTTATTATAAGGCAGTTATTTCGTTATGACACATAAACATTTTATTTATATGTATTGTATAGATACCTATAGATGTATAAATGTGTGGAAATTAAATGCTCTATAAATCTAACTTGTATTACTGAAACTATCTGCCTTCAATTATTGTATTAAAAGTAATTATGTTTACAAATAATAATTGCAAGAATGATAAAATAGGAAGTACAAAGAATATGTTATTAAGGCGACAGGTTTCTATTGGAAGCGAAATGACGAGTAACGTCTGGTATTCCAGACAATGAACAATAAAACAATAACAACAGGCGTGTAAACATCGTTTTCTTGGATCTCATGTTGCGTACACGTTTACATGAGCCACCCGCCGCCTACAGAGCATCAGTAGTGATCTAGACACTCACATATCCGGTTCATCGTTGTTTATATGATCCGAAATCTCAAGGTGATTAAAACAAAATACGATCTTGTACAGTTAAATTTAAGTAGCCGGTTAAAGCAACAGCAAATTAAAAAAAAATTGCCAAGTGTAATCTAAAAGTCAACGTGATTAAAAGAAAATACGATCTTGTACTCGTATAGGTAAATTAAAGTAGCAACATGGTTGAGGCAACAAAATGTGAAACGGCAGTTTTATAAAAACTAACGATGCTAATAAGTTACTAAACATTTAGAAGAAAAAAATTATATTCAATAATTTTATGAGTGGTCTTAGTATCGCAAGATAGTCGAAGATATTAAAAAATGCCATGAGCTCAGCAGCAAATATAACCGAAGACCTCTGCAAGATATGTGATGGTAGGATCGAATGTGCACCAACAGCTATCCTCCTTATTTCTCTAGTCCATACATTGTACGGCCATATTGGACCGGAACCGGATTACTTTGGAAAGAACAAAGCTCAGTTGATGGGCGTGAATAAGAAATCGGAAAACAGTGACAACACTGAGAATAATTATAAACCCTTTGTGAAATATAAAACGCCAGTTGGAGCGCAGAAGGGAAGCGACGATCAACTGATTTCCCACGACAAAGAACTCGAGTATGACTTTGTTATTGTTGGAGGTGGCACTGCTGGATGTGTTGTGGCGAGTAGGCTGTCCGAAAATAGAAAATGGAGAGTTAGTATTCTTTTAACTTACCAATTACTGTGTTATTAATTATTTGGATGTAGTAGAGCTAGGCTGGATGGTGTTGTGGCTGCCACAGGAATGAGTCGGTTCAATCGGGAAATTACCACATTCCTACATTCATTCCAGCCTATTCAAAAGGGGAGGAGGGGATATTTGGTGTAGCTGTCACGCTTGGCGCAGTTCTATATTATTTTGAGTTATTATTAGGAAAATGCTGCTGGTAATCTCCGGTTTAGTTTTTCTCTGTCCCCTATTACGATACCCACAGGATGATGTGAAGTGGTGGGTTCTCTTACGCCATTAGTACTTGGCTAAAGTAAGGACCAAGCTCACAAAGAATAGTGTGAAATAGCAGCATTATTATGCTGTGTTTCGTGTAGTGAGGTTTTTTTTATAGGATAGGGTGACAAACGAGCACACAATCCATCTGATGGTAAGTGGTTGCTGCCATAGACATCTACATTTATCCTCAATAAAGAATCAAAATGCAGATGTCTGTTTTCCAGTAAAATGGGTCTCCGGTTCTCTACACTCACCATACGAAATACAGCAGTGTCAAGCTGCCATTTTACGCTGGTATTCAGTGAAAGCGTGGTCCTTCCCCGGTCGAACCGACCCATTCGTGCTACAACTATACTACCAATATAGCTGCAGCATGGCTCTACCACGCACCGTGAGTGTGTGAGTGTAGAGATCCGGAGACCGTTTTTACAGGTACGAGGCATTTCATCCTAGTCTTCAATGGTGGCAAGGCCTTATCATTCTTAATCAAGGATAATAGTAAGGAAGTAAATGTGAAGAGTAACCTAAAATTGTCTTTAAATATATGTAAGAGTTCCTGGGCTACAGCATCTACTAAACATCAGGTGAACGATATTCTTATTTGGCACCAATCTACAAAAATTAATTCGTATATGACTTTGCTAAAGTTCCCATTGTTGGACACATACCTCGTTTTATTTATAAAGGATTATGCAGCTGTTAACTGTTGAACACGGACGGCGCTTTATTCCTAAGGATATATTATCCAGCAGTCAGTCCGCCGCACTGCTTCACTGCAATAATGGACTGAAAATGTCTCCAATTTTTTTAATTTTCTCAGTGATGCAGATTTTCTCAAGATGTCACCGTCGGGCAAGTGGTATGGCAGCAATTTTTTTTATATTTTCATTGGCGCCGACAGGGGTTGATTTCTGGGTCGTTCGTGTAATTATGTAATTGATAGCATGCGTTTAGTTGATAACCACTGCTCAACTTTAGAGTATTTTTTATAGAATAAGGGTGACAAACGAGCACAGAGTTGTTGGTAAGTGGATACTTCGCCCATAGATATCTACATCTATCCTCGATAAAGAATCAAAATACAGATGATACCACCGCTATGGGCTTAGATGGAATGCCTCGTTTCCAGTAAACGGGGTCTTCGGTTTTCTACATTCATCATACGAAACACAGCTGCTATTTTATGCTGGTATTCTGTGAGCGCGTGGTACTTCCCCGGTCGAGCCGACACTTTCCTGCTACAACTATAATATAACTGAAGCATTACTCTACCACATATAAGTTGATCATTCTGATTTGGCATTTCAAAATTCCAATTTAATTATCTCTTACAAACATAATGCAAGAAATATATTTATCGGTTACATGTTTCTTTAAGAATTGTAACCTTGTGATCACTCAGGTTCTGGTAGTGGAAGCTGGTCCAGAAGAACCGAAGATGGCACTCATTCCTGGTCTCACTAGTGAATTCAGGGGCTCCTCCATGGACTGGCAATATTCAATGAGACCAAAAAAGGGGTAAGGAATACTATTACACTTTACTATTGCCTTAAGCGCAAAGCACATAATATGTTCTACTAGCAATTAAAAATCAAGATTTCAACGTTTTGTCGCATGAAATCGTATCTAGCAATCATATTGAACATATAAATAATATAAAAAGCACATGGTCAGAAAGATAAATGATTGTTGAACTTATTAATTTATTTATATTTGCAACTCAGTCGTTTATATTTACATTTATATTATTTAAACTATTAATTTATGTACGCAGTTCGCACTTGATTAGAATGTCCAAAAAATAAGTCATATTATTATGCCTTTTGGTATTTTAGTTCCTGATAAGTCTAGGTGCTGTAAAATTTATAAATAAGTATAGCAAAATAAAACAACCCATTAGTAAATAGAGCAACATGTCAATAATATTAAAGTCAAGGCATAAAACATAAAATTACTATGTATTTTTATGTTTAATGCGGATTCCTTGCCGTTGCTTTTGGACAAGATCTTGTTTCTTCTTGCGAACCAGTGTAGAATTTGACGCACGTACTCTTATGAACGCCAAAATCTACACCGGTTAAACGTTAAATAAGCCTAAATTGAATAAAAAGTTTTGACTTTGACTTTTATTTTATGTTTTGGATATAGTTTGCTTTAATATATTTTTTTATGTCTATCTTTATTTCTTGATGTAGATATGACATAAGAGATTCCATTACCACATATCAATCCGAGGGTGCTATAAGAGGTGACAGACGGAAGTAGATGGGCAGCAGCATCTTACTGATATCAATTTAAAATATTAAAATTAGCTGTGGTTGTCCATCCCACAATTTTACACTTTTTTCAATTCTCACAATTTTTTCAAGACGAACAGAAAAACACTTCTTACACTTCTTCACTTCTTTCACTTACTTCATCATCATCATTAAACCTTTCCTCAAATGCACTGTTAAGCATAGGCTTCCCCCAAGGAATGCCACAAAACACGATATGTATAATGAATAAGAATAAACTAAAAAAAATACGTACCAAAACAGAGCTTACAAATAAATAACTAATGTTTTCTTTTATAATGCTAGATTGACCCAGTCGTAAGAGATGGACCTTAAAGTACACTGTTGACTACGTATTCAACAATGAATGAAAAGTGAAAATGAAAAATAATTTATTTGACAGTTTGCACCATAACATAAAATTTAACAGCGATCCACGAACGACTCAGCTCAAAGTGAGAGCAATAAACACAGATTAACAAAATAAAAATAGTGCTCGGCTGACGTACCAAAGTTAAATTTTTCCTTTCTTTAAATTGGTGTATTAATGTGGTTTTTTAACAATAGCTAACACATTTTTTTCAGATTCTGTCAAAATCGTTTTAAATTGGGCTGCGAAGTAGTCCAAGGCAGAGTCCTTGGAGGCACGTCATCTATTAACGACATGGCGTACATGAGGGGAAGCCCCGCTGATTACGATGAGTGGATGCTCAACGGTAATGATGGATGGAGTTTTAGTCAATTACTGCCTTACTTCAAATACTCCGAAGGGAATTATGATAAAGATATCGCTAAGAATAAGTTCTTTCACTCCACGCAAGGACCTTTGGACGTTGGAAGATATCCGTACGTCGATGATAACGTTGATGTGTTATTAAGTGCGTTTAACGAACTTGGATATAATTACACTGATATCAACGGCCGGAACCAACTAGGTTTTATGAGGATACAGACAATGTCATATTTCGGAGAGAGAGTGAGCGCGTATACAGCATTCATTGATCCCATACGTAAACTGAGATCTAATATTGTCATCGAAACAGAAGCTCTTGTAACTAAAATTTTGTTTGAGGACTCTCAAGGCTCTACCAGAGTAGTAGGTGTAGATTATATTAAAAACGGTACAAAAATAAGAGTAAAGGCAAAAAAAGAAGTCATTTTGTGCGCTGGTGCGATTAACACGCCTAAATTATTAATGCAGTCCGGAGTGGGGCCGAAGGACTATTTAGAGTTTTTGAACATCAAAGTGTATAATGATTTGCCGGTCGGAGGAAACTTCCATGATCATCTGTCTGTCTGTCTACCAGTCGTCAAACTCAGTAAAACGGCAACTACGTCAAAATTTTCGGAGAAGCTGAAAGATATATCTTCGTACTACTCGAAAGGCACGGGACCACTATCAGCTAATTTTCAAGTTGTCGCTTTTATGGAGACCACATTATCGGACGTACTTGGCACACCAGATATTGAAATGAGATTTCGTGGCCACGACTCCAATATGTATTACGATAAAATTGATATGTGCGTTTCTCTTCTAACACCTAAAAGCCGCGGACAAGTTATTTTGAATGCAACTGATCCAGTGTTTGGGAAACCTCTTATTTATCCAAACTTTCTTAAAGAGAAATCGGATGAGAAGAAACTGTTGGAAGGTGTACATGAAGTTGTAAAACTTTTTGACACGGAAGTTTTTAGGACTGCCGCGGTTGAATTCGATCCTCGTCCTATCCTGAACAATGAGTGTAAAAACTATGAAAAAGTCTCCGAAGGTTTTTGGGCATGTATAGTAAAACATTTTTCAAGTCCGTTGCATAATTATGTAGGCACTTGTAAAATGGGGCCCTCCAAAGACCCTGAGTCTGTAGTTGATCATAATTTAAGAGTATATGGCATTTCAAATCTTAGAGTTGTTGACGCTTCAATCATACCTAAAATTACTCGAGGTTCTACTGCTGCCCCTGTTATAATGATAGCTGAAAAAGCAAGTGATTTAATAAAAACAACTTGGTATTAAATAGAACTTTTATTTACAGTCTTAACAAATTACCATCTACGTCACCTTCTATAGTACCGTCCATTGTTTTCCTTCCAATCTGTTTTAATAAGTTTAGCGCCTTTCTCTGCAATCATTACCGTCGCTGCATAGATACTACCACGAACATGCGTTGGCATTACAGAAGCATCGACGATTCTTAAACCTTCAATGCCGTGAACTCTCAACTGGTAATCGACTACAGATGTTGTACTATTTTCCCCCATGCGGCACGTGCCAATGGGGTTACTCATAGCTTTTGTGTAATGTCTCGCTATACAGTTCCATTGGTCTCTGTTCCGTAATTTGTCGCATGGGAATAAATCTATTGGAGCAAATCTAATATCAGCCTTTTTCAATTCCTTCGTATCCAGTAACTGGAGTGCAATGTCAATACTATCGACTAAACTATCTAAGTCTTCGGATTCCTTGAGAAAGTTAGCTTGAATAACAGGTCTCCCGTATTTTGGATTTCTCTTATTTAACATTACCTTTCCTTTACTTTTAGGCCTAAGTAGCACAGGATATATTATAATGAGATTATAGTACGGCAACGGCATATTAAATTCTTCGATAGCATGGACACTGACGTTTGTAAGTAGGAATTTATCGCTTCTGATAAAGTTTCCTTCGAAAGAAAACTCAACATCAGGGGCGTTATTATCATTTTCGTAAAGCTTTAAGAAAGCAGATAATTGGTTTATACCTCGAGTCGCTAACGGTCCACTCCGAGACTGGAACCAAGTTTTAAAATCCTTAATAATTGTCTCTTCATTGACTGGAGGAATATCGTTTACAAAAAAAGCGAGACCCCCAGTTGTGACTTGGTCTTGATAGTGAGATCCAACCGGTAGGTCATGTAGTACAGTTATATTGTGTTTTTTTAATTCAGCCTTGGGTCCAATTCCTGATAGATGTAACAGTCTCACATTGTTGATAGCTCCCCCGGCTAATATTATTTCACGCTTAGCATAAGCCAGATGTTCTTTTCCTCTTTCACTTTCGTAGATAATCCCATCAATTGCATTCTCCTGCTTGTTTATGATGATTCTGGTGACAGTAACTCTGGTAATCACCACCAAGTTTTTCCTTTGCCTTACGGGCTTTAGGAAAGCGCTGTTAGTACTTAATCTGGTGTGATTTAATATTGTAAACTGATTAATAACTACAGCTTCTGGGACGTTGGTGTTTATGTCCAAAGTACGAAGGCCCATTTCGGAAAACGCATTGGTAAACATTTCTACGAATCGGTCAGCGTGCTTGAACCTTTGCACCCGCATTTCTCCGCCGCGAGAATGGTAGAAAGAGTTCATTAGTATGTCGTAGTCGCCTTAAAACATAAAAAAATTTGTTTTACCTCTTAAAACCAAGGTCGTGATCACTCTTAACTGAAGTTTTGTTACAAAAAAGAACTGAGCCTCTAAAGTAGAATTAAAATTTTTATATTAGAGTAATGTATAATGAAAAATGTATAAATAGTCGTGTAAGAACTATGCAAGATAATCCATCGACTCCTGTCGTTTAATTTGAGTTGAAGTGTGATAAATTGTGCGTAATTTTTATATGATTTTAATATGTCTTACCATTGTCCTCGGAAGCCTTGAAATATTCCAGCAAATTCTCAAACTGCCACCCCAAGGAGCCGAGTTGTCCGGTGTTATGCCAACCATCGTAATCCTTCTGGTGTCCCCGAGTGTATTTCATGTCATTGGTGACACTAGAGCCACCCAACACTTTGCCAGTCCTGACTTCACAGGCTCCTCCGGGTCGCGACAAACAAGAAAATCCATTCCGTTCTGTTCTATAGTTCCACAGGATCGGGCGAAAGTCCTTCGTAGGAACGCCTGGAATGTCATAATCTATGTTCTCCTCTTCGCCTGCTTCCAGGAGTAAGACCTGTATTAGGGATTATGTTTTTTAATGTATTTTCGTTTTATCGTTTTTAATTACTTACAGTTACTTCTTTAAATCCGCTTTAAATGATCCGTGTTAGCTTAGGTGCTATGCGTTCGCCGTAAATTATACACCACGTCGAAAACCCAGGTTCGATCCTAGCCGGCACCGGAAATCGGAAATTGTTTGTTTGTAAAAATTTAAGTGTTGATTTACCTCGTTTATCGGTGTTGAAGACAGCATCGTAAGGAAACATGCATTTTTGAAGAATAACATTTTAAAAAATAAAATATTTCGATGAAATAACATAGTGTCATAGATTAGAGGTTATAAAAAAAGTTTAGTTTAACCTTAAAATTATTTTTAGCCAACTTTTTAACTTGAAGCACTAAATTAGGCTTCGATTTTAACAAATGATATTTACGCAAAAGCAAGTCTTATTTGACAGTATTCCGATGATATCCTGGACGTCAGTCTGAGCGAGATTAGAATGGCACCTTAAAAACGGCAAGGCCCCGGGCGAGGATGGAATTACATGAAAGTTTCTGAAAGCGAGTGGAAAACCGGTACTTGAAGTCCTTCAGAAGCTCTTTTATTCCGTCCTCCATGGTGAGACTACTCCAGAGGCGTGGATCAGAAGTGCAGTGGTCTTGTTCTTCAATAAAGGCCACAACACTCTGTTGAAAACTACAGACCGATTTCCCTTCTGAGGCGCGTCTACGTGCTGTTTTCGAGAGTCATTACGAATCGTCTCTCACGCAGATTCGACGACTTCCAGCCTCCGGAACAAGCCGATTTCCAATAAGGTTTTAGCACCATAGACCACATACATACCTTTCGGCAAATTGTATTAAATTAAATCGGTATACTATCATTGCACAGGTATCATAGATTAAGAAAATTTTACAATTGACGATATCGCGATATATACATACAAAAAATACCGTAGGTATAAATGAATTGAGAATCTCCTACTATTCTTAAAGTCGGCTAAAAATGACTTTTGGTAATCTAATATCTTCTATTAGCCTGTGTTCTGAACAAAGAAAAGAGTATAGAACTGCCGACTTACCTTCCATTCGGGCACAGCTGAAAGCCTGTTCGCCAGCACGCATCCAGAAGTGCCTCCGCCGATGATAATGAAGTCGAAGACACTGTTCCTTAAGTTCTTTTCATCAGCCTTACTCCGAGTTGCCTTGGAGAACAGATCACCAGTAGCAGCGGTAACGAGGGTGATGAGAAGGGTTAGTCTCAATGAATGTGTTCCGGAGTCACTGAGACAATCATAAATTTTTGGTCTAATTTTAATAAAATGAATGTGGAATATCCGTGTAGTAGGTAACGGTAAACGGTAGGAATATCCACTACCTCATTTCATACCGTGGGTGTGACAAAAGATGAAAAAGGGAAACAAGACACGAAGAAGATGGGCAGCGGCATCTTTCTAATAACAATTAAAAATAAATGAAAATCTGCGGTTGCCAACTCACCTGCCAAGCCTGAATATTCCCGCTATGAATCGATCTATGGGGGGGGGGGGGGGCTATGTTCAGCAGAGGACTTTTGATAGGCTGTTACGTAACTTTAACTAGGGATTTTATATTTAAAAAAACTGAAATAACAAACTAACTTACAGTCTAGTCTACCTGACGGTAAATGGTTATGATGTGAGTTATGAGGAATGTTAAGCTTATATACTACAGTGAAACCTAGATAACTGGAACCTTAAGTGACCTGCAAATTTGTCTCACATAAAGAGGTATTCCACTTACCCAGTGTCTCAGATATCCAGGTAGAAATAATTATCTGTCTCATTTACAGAAGGTTCCATTAATAGAGGTGAGAATAGAGGTTATTTCAGTTATAGATGTGCGATTATTAAATAAAATAACGCATTTTGTAAATATACTTAATACATAAACATCCGGACGATAGCAAAACCAAACTAAAACTGGAGGTCGCTTTTTCATAATTAACCAAGTGCGGGATTTGCGGGTAGAATAAAAATTACTAAACAAAACGGTATACGAAATATAGTCTATACGGTATACAAATATATTGTAAAAGAGGTAAAATATACTCGTTGTCTCAATTATAGAGGTAGTTATGATGATAAAATCGAAAGAATTAATCCCAGATATAGAGGTTTGTTTTGTCTCACTAACAGAGGTAAATCAGTGCTAAAGTGTCGGTACCTAAGCATGAGTTCCAGCTATGGGGGTTTCTCACTTATCCAGGTCCCACTTAACCAAGTTTTACTGTATATTATATGCATGCAACTGCGGAAGGCGCTATTAAAATTAGGCGCGAAATTATTAAAAAATTATTTCACGCGTCTCTCAGCTAATTAATTTTCACATCTATAATGTAATGGACTGCCTCAGGGAAACGCCTGATGTTATTTGTCGTATCATTCATGAAAAATTCTTCATATGAGAGAGGTTCATGCTCAGCGGTGGACGGTCAGATGCGGAAGGTAAAGCAGCAGTGGGTTGTATAAAGTTTCTAAATCTTCTTTCAACGCAATTCTGACAATTTCATGGACTTTGTTTGGATGGATTTTGAACCATTAGTTAGCTCCCTATTATTTTTAATACGTTTTCCGAATGTCGATTATCTGTCACCATTACTCAAAACAATAAGTATGTATTTTAGCTACGAGCACAAACACCAATTAAACACAAAGATAAATTAGAGATTGTCTAACCTCAAAAACACTTCCAGCTTCATGTCGGACAGATCACAATCAAGAAAACAAAACCTAACGTTCAGTAGTCGACCGATAAATGAGTTATGTGAGTGAACCAAACAGTGCGTACGAAAAGGAAAGATTCTCCACGCTTCATCGAAATCAACGTCCTGAGTTTCGAAGGTAATAATTGTTGTGCAAGTGAGGATACCATACTGTTGTTTTTTTTATTATCGACCGCTATTACATAATGCATGACGTCCGTTACAATGTAATTAATGCTGTTATATCAATTATATTAATGTTATGCGATTGCTAGGGGCTTCCGATTTTTAACAGTTTTCGACGAGGTTTTGACCTTTGTTATTTGTAAAGCTGAAAGTATATTGCTAAGCACTACCGCCTTCAAACCACTTAATTCGCTTTACGTGGTAGAGTCATGCTGCAGCTATAATATGGTGTAACTCGGACTAGAACCAGATCGACTCCAACGGGTACGGGTCCAACGGGCAACGTAAAATAGCAACTTCATACTGCTGTGTTTCGTATGGTGAGTGACGACTGGAGATCCTTTTTACTGGAAACTAGACATTCCATCTTAATCCTCATGAGTATAAAGCATTTGCATTTTGATTTTAAATCGAAATCGAATCAATTGATTAAATGTCTATATTATTACAGCATTCACTTATGATCAAGTGGACTGTGGGCTCTTTTTTCACCCTTACTCTATAAGAAAATCGATATCGATAATATATACACATATAAATAAAATTCAAGTGTCTGTTTCTAATATCGGAATAACCGACTTATATTGAGCTGAGATTATTTGTACGTTTTTAAGACATGAACAACCATTTTCAAACTTTTTATCTGGCTGTCTGTCCGGGCTAGTCTTCGGAAGCGCCGAACCGATTGTAATGAAACTTCATCAACAGGTAGAGAGGCCAGGAGTGATCTAGAATTTATTTAAAACTTTATTTTGAAAAATCAAAATTAAAATATGAAATAAATGGTATTTGCTACATTAATAGATCCTACCCATTCGAGGCCGGGGCGGGTAGCTAGTCGTGGATTAAATTTAACCGCTTTATCAACCATGTGCCATCATCATTAACAGCAGTCCTTAAAAGTCCACAGCGTAAGCTCTCACGTTGTAGGGAGAATTTGCCTTATTCGTTATGTTTGACAAATTTACGATCGCAGTGCCCGAGTACAGTCTAACTTATATTCTTAGACTGTGACCCGAGGCCTCGCAAGTTGGACGACTTTGTCCGTCACCCAAACAGATGCAACAAACTATGAGTGTAGATATGCTATTAGAATGGAACCTGAGACCAACCAAAACATTCATAAAGCTATATACCACAGGCATCCGAAGTTTCCTTACCGTCATAAAGCATAAACTACTGGTCAGTTAATTTCCGGAGTAAGTTGTTATCTAACTCCGATAGGGTTGGTTCGCTGTCACAAAATACAATTTAATATTTGAAGACCTTTTGAGGGTCATTCAAACTAGGCACTAAGAGTAGATACAGATAGTATATTACATACGAGTAACTTATGTGCTTGACTAGAATAAAAATAGCTTTTTTAAAATTATTTTTACGGAATTTATTACGTTTAATTGTAATGATTTCAAATTAAACATGAAATTTTAAAGAGATGAAGTTTCAACAACTGACATAAAATTTGTTTTTGTTAATTTGTACTATTATTTGTGTGTGTTTAAATGAAGCAAGTACATGTGTCAACATAAATCACATATATATGAATATATTAATGTTTTTTTTATACTCTCCAAGGTTCCGTGCTTAACATGGTAAAATTAGTTTTTCATAAGTAAATACAGCAACTCATTATATAAAATAATATTTCTTATTTTATTTAGTTTAAATTTAAATGTAATAATTTTAATAAGAAATAATATTTAAAAAGGATTTGTGTATAATTTACTATTTTTAAAATAAAAAATTCAAACTTAAATAGCGCTATCTATCGTCACAAAGTAAAACTAACATTTATTGATATCACGTAAAACTTTCACAATACAACCCACAGATGGCGCTTAGTTACACTGACAACACGGAAATTTAATTTAAGTAGTCTTTTATTATTTAACGGATACTGTTAAAATATGATAAATATAAAAGGTTATTAGGATTACGAAAATAACAAACATGAATCAAGAAACGAAATTTGTGTATCAGAAGATTATTACATTAAAAATTAAAAACTAAATTTTTATATAAGTACCTACTTAGTATAATTTCCTTCAGTCAATAGGTACCTATTGCTTTAATCTTAAAATAATAGCTCATAAACCACGTCGTCTAGAACAAAACATGAGAGTTATTATTCGGTGGACCAATGAACGCAAATTAAGCGCCGGATGCACCAGCATCGTCAAGGGCTAAAGACGCGAGACGTCTGGGTCTGGTAAGTAGGTATTGCGATCGTCAATGCGCTTGACAAGTGTGATGTTTAACGCAAATCCTTCTTACAACAGAGTGGAGCCCATCTAACAGTAGACGTTTATGGGCTGACAATAAAGAAGAAGACCGTACTTGCAATGCTTCACGACAAATGGTGCGAGAGTAGTAATGAAGGCACGTGTTCTCTTTAGCGAG